ATTTCCTGCGTCACCCCTGTGGGGACGCCCTTACTCCATGGTGCCGAGCTTATCAATTTGGATATCAATGGAATCAAAATCTCTTATCGATCGATGAAGAACTAAATTACCCCGACCCGGAGAGCGTCTTTGGAATCAAAGCAGTAGCACATGACGCAAGACTTCAGGCAAATAAATCCTTCTTGTCTAAAATAAAACATTTGTGTATTGATAAGCACGTTTTATAAGCAATGGTAGCAAGATTCTCCATGTATTTGGTTACAGTGATAATTTAGTAGCAGATACTTACCGTCGCATTTCGTTTTTTTTATTAATAATTTATATTGTCAGAACTAGCAACATGTCTCTTCACTCAACAATAATTACAAAAGTGAAAAAGAAATGATAAATTGCTTATATTTTGGTGAAACTAAAAATTAATTCAGCACATATTTTGTTTTACAGCGTTGAAGTCCAGCTCCAAAGGACAGCTGACGATCGTAGCCGAGCAGGCTGTTTGGTACTTCTTCACTACTTCTTAGAAGTACCCGTTAGTACCGATCATTTCTCACATAATAGGCTATTGGAACAAAAATATCCATGTCCTTCTAATTATTCTCATTTCACACTTTAAATAAATACTTTTGAAATGCATTTGCTACTTACTTTCACAAAAACGGCTTGAAAATTTACAACGTTCAAATACTTATTCCAATTTCCACCATTAAACCACCACTATATTACTTGCTTACAGAACCGTGCGCACAGTGCGCGCAGTTTTATCGTGACGTCAGAGGGTGCTTCCTCAGTGGCGCCCCCTGGCGGGGAACGCGTGCAAAAAGTCCAGCTCTTAGGCATGTCCGTGAAACCATAAGCCGCCTTGTGTATAAATATGAAGCGCAATGTATTGAAACACGAGCGCCAGATGCGCCGCGCTTCAGCGCAGCCATATCCTAGGATAATTTTCGGTATGTAGTAAAAAGCTCCCAGTTCTAGTTGTATTTCTAGATGATATAGTATAATTCTAGTATATACTAGGAAAAACTTTGGAGTACCCGACTCTTTAGTGCCCTGATCTGGTGTACCGAAATGGCATCCTCTCGGTCGTCTCCGGGGAGAGGGAGCGGCGGCGTGCTCCCGAGGAGTGGCTTGAATAGTGATTCTGAGCAGTTGTCGCGCCACTGATGCGAGGCCGCACAATGAACCGCCCTGGTCAGCGATCGGGCGTTTGAGGGCAGGGCGGCCGCCAGTTTTGCCAGATCGTCCACGCTCTCATTCCCCTCGATACTGCAGTGGGCAGGAACCCACTGCTATTGCTTAACGACGCTTGGCGACGTTCAACAAGGTTTTCCATGCCTATCTCTACGCCGAAGGTTGAGGCCTCACCTGGGCGGCCGTTCCTCCGCTGAGTAGACTCAGGGCGGCTCGCCAGTTCGAGCACGCGACGCCCGGGGCGGGGACGTCTCGTCCCGCAACCTCTCCAGGGCTGCCCACGGGGCGAATCTGCTGCTAGATTGACCAGCGTACCGCATAAATTTGGTGACTGTCTTTCGCCAAAAAATTATGCGACCGCCCTACACCGAAAAATTCGTCCGCCGCCATGCGCTGAATTCGGGGCATGCGAAGTTACGCCGGACGTGCGCTTAAATTTTCGGCGCAATTCCGCCACTACGCCGGACATATTCGGCTTAACGTGTATTTTTTCCAGTCTGGACCCCATGTTGCATATTCATATGAACCGTAGATCAGATATTTTTTGAACAAATACCCATATTTCATCCTTTCAGCATGCCTACAACCTACTAAACAGCCTTGGTATCAACCTACCATTCGTACTTTATCTACACATACATATTGATATATGGGGTATGTTTGGTTCAGTAGGTTATAGTAGGTCCAGAGGCGGATCCAGCTCAGAGTTTTTTTTTGGGGGGGGGGCAAACCATAACAATTTATCGATTATTTCCATGCATCGTCCATAGGCGTAATGTTAAAATTATGCCGTTGGGGGGGGGGCAAATGCCCATTTTGCCCCCCCTGGATCCGCCACTGAGTAGGTCAGGTGCCTACATGCTATCATTTGTCATGCTTTGATTTCAGGTGGTGTGTCTTGTGGGCTTTATAGTGGGCTTTGTGGCCCTCTCTAAGTGCAAGGGTTAAGTGTTGATGCACATAATGCAATGTGTTTTTTTTTCCATGGGCGCAGGAACCTCACGTAAAGTGTGGTGGGGGAGGGGGGCAGAGAACTTCAATGTCACTTTGTGGGAACCCCAATACCCCTATGAACAAATTCTTTGCAGTTTCGTGCTTATCTCACCTTGCCGAACAATTTCTTGCTCTTAGTTTTGAATTTAAATGAAAAATAAATATTTTACTTTAAAAATTAGCATAGCTGAAAAGTGGGGACACCCCTCCCCGATCCTAGGCCTATGTTTTTTTCCTTAATGGTACAAATCATCCAGATTCATATGAGAAGGGTAGGTAGCTACCTACAAAATCAAATCAATGCCTCAATTGTTTATTGTTTTATTACAATAAGTCCCTCCTCTGCCAATCACACTAAACTATCTACTGTCACAATACAGTGTGCGTCATGATTTCTCAACTCTATGCATACAATATATTTCCATTTGTCAATCACATATTGTTTTTTTTTACAGGCTTTCCGGTTATGACTGAGGCCAGCATCTCACGTGTCCTGGCTACGCCAAATCACTGCGGATGCCGGATGCCGAGGACCGGAGAGCCAACCGCTTTTAGGCGTGAGCTCTGTGGCGTGGCTCGAGTGATCACCAGGTTCTGACGGCTACGGCGCCGTCGACCTGGTTGAATAGCTGGGGCCTGGACGAGGGTGCCCTTAGTACGGTGGTCGATCGGTTACGTCCGAGGGGCGCTCGAACACGCTGCCGTCGCGTGGCTGCCGGCGGCCGCCCCCTCGCACGTGAATCTCCTGGAGCGAGGACTGCGGGAGGCGGCCGCATCATCACCTGTGTCCGCGCTCAACACCGTGCCACGCACTAATGGCGGAAGCCCGACTTTCTCCGATGGAGGAGAGAAGCTGGACGCTGGCTGCCAGGCTGCTGGGGAGGGCGCTGGGTCTGCCATCAGGGGACCCCCTGCGCGCGACCGCCGAGGCCTCGGCACCGGCGCGCCTGCCTTCGGTCCGAGGCTGGAGATTGCGAGGCCGCCAGGCCTGGGCGAGAGCGAGAATCCCACCGTGGCAACAGACGGCTGGCGTCACCTTCCGGTTGGACGTGTGCCCGATCCGGGCTGGGGCCACGGCGGCGGAAAGGGAAAGCGCGGCTACGCTGCACCTCGCGTTCCTGCCCCTGTGTGCTGTCCGGCTTTGGACGGACGGATCTGTGGAGGGCGGAGTCTTCAGGCGCTGGGCGGGAGCCGTGCTGGTCTGGCTGGACGAAGAGGTCGAGGAACTGCGGGTCCCGGCCGGAGAGATGTGCTATAGCTACCGCGCGGAGATGGTGGCGCTGGTGACCGGTCCGGAGACCGTACTCGAAAGAGACAGAGACCAGGACCTGCGGTCCGTACCTATCTGCTAACCGTGCGGTAGTGCTGGTGTAGTGCAACATTTTTGGATGGCTAGCTCCATTTCACGATTAAATAGCTGGTACGTTTCAGTGCTTGCAGGTGGCGTGACGAACAATGTATCTGTTGGCCACTTCTGCGGCCGCTGCCATTTTCCACTCGAAGGCGGGCGCGCTGTTTGGCTGGGCCGGCAGGATGTTCCCATTATGTGTCGACGACAAAGCGAGTATATTCATGTTCTTTTAATGCACAGAAGTCTGTTGTATATCTGAAGTTTTTTTTAGGTTGACGATGGCGAAGGGCAGATTCATCTTCTCTCTTTCATTTGTGTTGCCACTTTAGCGTTCATGTTTGTCATAAGTGTCCTGGTCCGGTTTGGTTGTCATCTTTATTCGTGATGTATTTTATTTTACGAACATGCTGGTGATCAATGCAATACACTTTTGATTAATAATACTGCTTTAGCTCTGATCCTTTGTGGTATGTCTTGATTGTACTAACTGCGATGTTACTGCGATAGTGATTTTTCCTCACCAAAATATGCAGGCAACAAATGTAAATGCTGCCAAAAGTTTGTCATTGCGTGATGTATCTAAAAGACATCAACTTTCTGAACGTGGTCGTGTACTACGCAACCGGAAACTCAATAGGACGTGGAATGCTGTGAAGCAAAACTACAGAAGTGAGGCTGGCCACGCCAAAATCAAGTGAGATATGTCTAGCCTTTCTTCAGCCGCCAAGGCTTCGACAGACTATCCGCGGGTTCGGTGTCTCGAACTACGAAGATTCAACGTCGTCCGGCCAATCCTGGTTAAGGTCAGCGGGGACTTAGCTGTGGTTATGGAACAGGATTGGCCGTCCGAGAGACTCCGAACCTGGGGTATGTTGCAGCACAGCTATGTCGACCGAGTGTCGTCGCAGGCTGCCCCACTCGACGAGAAAAAGTAAAACCGTCCCGTCCTAGGCTGACTAGGCTTAGCTAGTTGGCAGCACAGTCGCGCCGGCAGGGGGCAGTGCCACAACCAGCCGACTGATATTTTCGTGTGACGTCAGAACCGGTGCCTCCCTGCCTCAGCCCAAGCCTCGCTTTGACTTCAACTTACCGTGCGATGAATATCAGAATCAACCACACTTTTAAGGTGATAAAACAAGCTCAAACATCTACATTAGAATTCGCTGAGATAATCACATCTCAGTATAAGCCTGTGTAATAAAAATCAACTAAAACCAACGCCTTTCACATAAATTGAGACAAGAACGAAACTTCGTTTCTGAAAAATGCCTGAGGCGAAAATCCTTATATCCCCGCGTTCGATGTCTTTCGGACCACGAAGATTCTACACCGTCCGGCCAATCCCGTTCAAGATCAGTGGGGGCTCGACTGCAGTTATGGAACGTGATTGGCTAAACGGCGTAGAATCTTCATCGTCCGAAAGACATCAAACGCGGGGTATGACTCGTACGCGTCATTAACGTATAGAAAAGTAGAGGTAGGCGTGTAGTAAATTGTTATACCTGCCATGGACCTTGCCTGCCATGTTATATCAATATTGTCAAATATTAATTAAAATATTTCAACTCCTTTGATTTGTTCCTAGCCTTTTGAATGTCAAATGCAGCGATACTTCCAGTGTGTAAACGAATTACTGATAAAATGTCAAACTACTTAGGTGCATGGCATGTAATTCGTTGCAGGTTTTTAATTTTTAATCCTCATTTTTTCATTATCCTCATTCTTTCATCTTGCTTCCATCACCTTGGAAGCTTGGTGGGAGTTCATTTCGTTCATTTGGTTCAACACTTCATTTCAGAGTGAATAGAATTCTATTTTTCGTCAAATTTCCACCAAAGTTGGACAGAGGAAGCGCGCCTGGCACACTGCTCCACTGTCCTAAATTGAAATCGTCTTGCAAATATTGCCTTCTCTGAATGATTCACTCTCATTGCTGTTACATAATTCTGGCCAAGGCCCCTAAAGATTGTCTTGTTTTTTGTGATAACTGATTTTCAGTTATGATGCTGAATAGATGGAAATTGTTTTCCTCATGCTTCTATGGTGCAGCAAAACAAAGGTAATTTTGATGTTTATGGGAGTATTTGGTTGTGACTTTTTTCTGTTTGCAGTTTTAGTGTGAATATATTTTACTCAATGTTGAGAACCCCGAGACTCTGCTCACCTGACAATAGGTAATCTTATGACATTAAGTTGAGCACAATATTCAAGGGTCTAAATCAGTTATTGAATATACCTATAGTTATTGATGATAAGGTGACAGTTACCTAGTCCTGTTCGCTGTGCTCAACTTTGATTTGTGTGAAGATGGCCAATTGTGCTTTATAGTGAGTGTTAATTGATATTTTCTCTGTAGTGTTTGCAGCTCAGTGAAGACAAGAGGTCTTTCTGTGACACCTCAGAGGCTTGAGTACTCAGAGCACAATGAAGACCAGAAGACCACAGTCACATTCCTCAACAGGGAGATGGGAGACATGATCAGTGTGGATGGAATCAGCCAGGTACCTAAATACCATCCCTGATCTCTGAATGGACTGTTAGTAAAATGTGGCATTTGCTCAGGCAAAGAGATGTAGCTATCATATGATATCAAGGCCTACTTCTAGTTTCTCTGAGCTAAGCATGGTTTCACTTCCTATCTGGCTCTTATCTGAGCTAACTCAATTGCTGAGTCAGCTGATGTGATGCCTTGTCTTCTAACTGAACTGACCTTTCACCAGGACATAGGCTCAAATTGATGAAATGAAAATCCTATCTAAGCATTTACTTTGAAAAGGCTGAGATGGTTTGACCACCAGTTATCACTGTTCTCCTACCTCTCACAGTATGGATTTCACCTGAACTCTGGTGTGGTGGTGCTGGGGCCGATGGCCGTCTTCCCGCGCACGGTGCTCGGTTGGAACGTACCCTCGGCACCGCACATCACGCCCGCCTCGCTGGCGCTGTTCGCCATCCTGGAGCCGCGTCTGGACTGCCTCGTCATCGGCACAGGTCAGCAGCTGGAGCCTCGCTCCACCGGGCCCAGCGGGCGTGGGGTCCCGACGTCTGTTACGATATTATTAGAAAGAACATCTGCCATCACTGTTGACGGGTTACCGGTTGCGTTACCAACCCCGGCCGTTTTTCACAGGCGACCGCGGCACCACTGTCAGCAAAGAGGTGATCGCCTTCCTGCGTCAGAAGAAGATCTCGTTCGAGATCCTGCCGACGGAGCAGGCGGCGGCCACGTTCAACTTTATGAACCTGGAGCGGCGCTGCGTGGCCGGCGCGCTCATCCCGCCCGTCGACGTGCGGCTGGTGGATCGCGACTACGAGCAGCACCAGAAAAGCCAGCGGCAGGCGCTGCTCGAGGAGCCCTAGTGGCGCCGGCCGGCTGGAGTGCAGTAATAGCGAGTGATAGTGCCGCGGTGGTGACATTGTGTGGCCCTGGAGCGGTATGTAATGAGACGGCCGGGGGATGCCTGATAGCCGTAACAGCGATGGCGCCCCAGAGAACTCTTTAGCCGTGGACAAAGCGCGGAACGCCGAGTGTGCCAAGTCACAACGGCCTGCCGACAACTCCGTAATGTCTGTTCAAGGACATTTGTGTACTTTTCGGTCTAATGTTACATGACTCATGAGCATTACTGACCTCAGAATATGTTCTGTGACATGAGTCAAATGTGTTGCCATTTATCATGGGTGTGCCGCTAGTTCACAACTAGGCGCCTGGTCGGAAGGCTTTATTTATATGCCTATTGCCTACGAGTATAAACGTGTACCCAGGTTTGCAGTGTGGTGTGCGTATAATTTTGCTCATCGTTTCGATCGCTCCTAGTCTGTCGAATACCCAGTAAGACAGCATGCTTATGAACATTGCAATTCGATGTATTTCGGCACGTTCGATAGAAACATTCCGCTCACACGCAGGACACAGTCTCCTGAGACCAGTGGCTCAAGCGACAAAAACGGTCGCGACTCCAGACTGACTAGTCTCGCACAAACATTCGAGTCGCCCTTTCACAAACCATGAGCGAATAACTCGAAAACGAATCACTTTTAAAGCATCGCAGCCAGCTGCAGACATTCGCCATGCCAGACGTGCCAGCTGCCAGACATTTGAAAAATGAGATTACTGGGCGGAAGAAGTACGGTGCTCCGGAGATAGCATCAGTTATGGTTTATGAAGGTTACTGATGCGAGACAATTTGTCGACGGAGCGCACGTCTAGCCCAGTGCATTGTGGCTCGGTCGAATGACCGTAAAGCTCTCTTTTTATCACCGAGAATATTCGATAGACAATTCATACCGTTCAGTCGGGCTGCAGCTGACACATGACTCACGCACAACGCGCAGGGTTTTACTCGACATTCAGTCCGCTTAATCATACAACCTGCGTCACCGGCAGGAGGCGGTAAACGTGTCGCTGTCTGGCAATCTCGGGGCAGGCCCGCGTCCGTGTCACTTAAAACACCACAAATGTCTCAACGGTAAGACCAGATAGCCGAAACTGCGAGGCACCGGTCGTAGTACTACATCTCCACGAGGCAGTACATATTTACTGGAAGGACAAGGCCGTTGCGAGTTCAACTCTCGCTAAGCTGACTCAATGGTCAATTGAAGTCGACCTCGAACACTCCACCCAGACGGCGACGTCATTCTTGCTTCATCCGTGAGCATATGTAACACCCCGTGGAAGTATGGCTCGAACAACCGAAACATCTCGCACGTATAGTCCGAACAGTCAATGTAACCGTGCAATCCTTCTCAGCGCTCGTTCAGTCACACCGCCAGGTATCAAACAGTTGGGCCTCGCACTCCCAGCGCTCGAGCAGAGGTCCAAGCCAGGCGATCGCAGTGCTCCCGGATCGGAGCAGCCGCCCGTTAGGTCGTTTGTGCCGCTCGGTCCGACAGATGTCTGTACGGTGGCGCTCACTTATCCAGTCGGATCAAGTCGGTCAGGTTGGAGCGCGGCTGCGCCATCTCGGCCGGAAAGAACACGGTCAGCTGGTCGAAGAGCCGCGAGCGGGCGGCGCGGCGCGGCTCCGGGTCGGCCGGGTCGGCGGCCGGCGGCGCGAACAGCCGGCCGGCAAGCAGCTGAAACTGGCGCTCCTGCTCGGCATCCGCGTGGTCGACGGCGGCGGCCACCTCCGTCTGCAGGTACTGCAGCGCGGCCACCGGGTCCGACGGCACCAGCTCCTCGAACCTGACCGGGCGGCAACAACACGGTCAGTATTGGGGCAGGCACCAGCAGCTCCTCGAACCTGGCAGGGCGGCAACACGGTCAGTATTGGCGCAGACACCAGCTCCTCGAACCTGACAAAGCGGAAACAGCACGTCAAAGAGGGCCAGGTCATGGCCAGCTTAGGCGAAACAGCACACCTCCAGGAAGAGCCAGGGCTAGTTGAGGCGCAACCCAGTAGGTACGGTCAGGGCCAGGCCATGCACCAGGTTAATAAATAGGTTACCTTTCTGCGAAATTCGCACACAATTCTACGAACAGAATGAAGGAATTCTATTGATCGCCCGATACATTCGCTCACAATCCGTTCCAGCCCATCGGACAGGCGACTGTGGCGACCTACCTTTGTTTCCTGAGCAGCAGCCTGCACTGCCGCAGGACTTCCGAACAGGTAGGTCGGGTGAGCTTCAGACGCCAGAAATCGTCCAGACGCATCTTTGGGTTGCCCTTGCGGCCTGGGTTGCCACCAAACAGGTAGAATATCTATAAAGGGACAGACATATACGACGTTAACGCCAAATAGGACAACCCATTTGACATCACAGACGTCAGATGGACACACGCCGGCGGCGGTGGACACACGACTCACGTCGCTGATGAAGTTCCGTAAACACTCGTTACTCCGTTGGCACGCACAATGAACGCATTCTCGTTTGATAACATTTTATAATGACGAACACGTTATTTTTGGAAGTTCTGCGAAAATCACGAGCGAATACCTCCCAGCTAGCTGCACAGTGCACACTATGACCCCGATGAGAAATACTGACCATGTTCGGACTAGGTATTTCGTGGCAGTGTGACTATCGGCTGAACTACGCACCTTTCGTATGTGGTCAAACACCAGCTGGTGTGCGAACCGCGGGCACGGCTCCACCAGCGGTTTGGAGTCGTCCGATCCGCTCGGCTCAGCACGGTTCCGGTAGATGCACGACCTGACGGTGCATTATATGTAGGACAGACCGTGAACGGGACGTAACAATCGCTGAATAAAAAAAATCAAAGAGCACTGTGCCAGCCACAACAGGGAGCATGGTTGGCGGAATGCGCAGACCCGGTAGCTCGGGGATGAAAATCAAACCAGGTGCTACCAGTACTCACCACCTATTCTGTTTGATGTCATACACCCAGAACGAGTTCTTCAGGTTATCCTCCTTCTTTTCTTTGTCTTTGCTCAGCCCCTGAAATGATAACAGGAGCTAGTAAAAATGATAACATCTGACCATTTATCGTGGATCATAGACCTCTGTACACCTCAACGTACAGAGGTGACTCATGGATATTCATCAAACACTCACCTGTTAGTCTCTGTTCCACATGTTTTACTTACAGTAAAAAGATGCAAGTGTATCAGAAGTACTACCGTGACGCATGAAACAGCGTTGGAAATCCACGTGAAATACAGTGTACTGTGTAACGCACCGTCCTGACGGAACCCGTTCCCTTTCCTTGTCCACTATCTCTCCAAACCACCGAGAGGAAGTGTATCTCGGCCTCCCTTCCCTTCAGTCCCCCCTCTCACACCCACCGAGAGGACGTGTATCTCGACCTTCCTCTCCGTCCCCCCTCTCGCACCCACCGAGAGGACGTGTATCTCGACCTTCCTCTCCGTCCCCCCTCTCGCACCCACCGAGAGGACGTGTATCTCGGCCTCCCTCCCCTTCAGTCTCCCCCTCTCGCACCCACCGAGATGACGTGTATCTCGCCCCCCTCTCGTACCCACCGAGAGGACGTGAATCTCGGCCTGCTGGACGTCGATGGTGGCGCGCTGCGTGGTGCCCGCCGCCGGCACGTCCACGCTGCCGTCGCCGCGCGTGCCGTCCGATATCATCGTCAGCTCGTCTGTATCGGGCGAGTAGGTGAAAAAGTCGTTCAGGTACTCCTTGCTCCGCTGGCCAGCGAGGATGTACAACTTACGACTCTTCTGCGGGGCGGACAGGCACACGGCGGGGTCAGACTTGGTGTGGGCGACCGGACTAGACTAGCAGACCGGGCGGGTGGTGACTGAACCTCAGAGGCTTGATGTTTCAAATGATTTGCGATACATAACTGTTATAACTACAGTGTAAGTGAGTGAACCTCCTGTTGCTTCCAAAACAACACCAGGTTTGTTATGCCACTACATACCTTAACCTGACCATGACAAAGGCAAACATACCTAATACAAAACATACAGAAGCATGTCCTGCGTGTGTTGAGGGGCAGATAAAACATACAGATTACAGAAGCGTGCCTGCCGTGGGCCGAGGGGCAGACGCGACACACCCACCTGGTCGAAGAGCATGCAGTGGGAGACCCGGGAGCGGATCGTGCCCGGTCCCGGGTGGTACGAGTCGGCACGCAGGCGGGTCCACGTGCTGGTCGCCACGTGGTACGCGTACAGGCCCGAAAACACCGGGTCCACTGAGCTCAACGTACCCGTCCGATCATCCAGCGAGCTCCTGAGAATGGCATCACATCAGAGTTCAGGGGAGGGACGGGACACGGTGACCGACCAGTGAACTCCCGGAGACGTCTCAAGCACTTAGTGCCAACATCAGCTTCATTAAAAGCTATCTCTAGGTGTAAATATGTAATCATTGAAAAGGTTCCATGGCTTTCCATATGCATACTGTACCGCACCTTTGAAACAGAATCGAATCTCTGTTATAAGTTCTCTTGACGCAACACGTGAATTAGCGCTGATGACAGGCGACACCCAGGCAAATGGAGTCCCTTAAAATAAGAAACAAGCGGCTGAACGAACTCACGGCGCGGTACAGGTCAGCTCGCGGCCGCCGAACACGTAGAGCGTGCGGCTCACGGGGTCCAGGCACATCTGGTGGTCGAAGATGAGCGCCGGCCCGCCCATACTGGCCGTGTCGTCTGTGATGAGGGTCCACCGGCCACACGGGATGTCGTACATGTAAAAATCGCCCTGCAGACGGAGCCAGGCCGGAACGTCAGCTACTATACGCTAAGACAGCAAAGGCATTGATTTTGGATATCCTACATTCAATAAAAATACATCGAATGATAAGTAAAGCCTTGACTTCAGAGAACTTCATGCAGATCGATGACCATGTTGAAAACCATAGGCGCCCGATAAGGGCCCACTAAAGGTACACCATCGGCCTCTGCGTACCTTGAGGTTTTCGGGGATGCGTTGCGCTGAGTCGACGTAACGTCCGAGCGTGAACAGCTGCTGTCGCTCCACGTCCAGACACATCTTGTGGCAGCTGCGAGCTGTGGGACCGCCCTGGAATCACATCCGCACGGCTCCACTCAGTTACAGGGTTCTCCACTGCGACGGGCGAGCTTATAGAGGACACGGTGGTGACGCCTCTCAGATACGGGATTTCTACCGCGATCGGAGGACTCTGGGAGACCTGGGCCCTGTTCATGAAGTCTGCGGTCGCTGCGGCCGGCCGCAGGTTCTAAGCCCCGCCCATTTTTGAAACGTCATCACTCACTCGGCCGCAGCAGCGTTCCATGAACAGCGTCTGCTGCCGAAATAGTTTCCGACAATTGTTTACAGCTGACGCACACCCGGCTACATAATTTGTTTACAAAATCGTCTCCATGACAACACGGCTTGCGCCTATTTGACTTCAGTGCGCCAAGTTCACTGCAATTAGTTTTCTTGCGGCTCGGCGGTTGC